TATATGAAATTGTAACAGTAACTGCAGTGTCAGTAAGAGTGCCACTCATTTTTAAAGCTCACCACTCTAAGGCTCAGCCTCCCCATCAATTTGTAAATCTCAGTTAGCACATAAATAACATAAGACAGACAAGCATGGAAAATCCTAACCCTCCACTGAAGCTCACCAGTGGTATACACTTACTGAAATACGTCCTATGACAATGAGTGGTGTGTGGGCTCAGCGCAGAAGACAGCTGAAAGAATCATACATTGTGACATCAGTGACTACAATTTATTTTTAGATTATTACAGTACAAATCTGAGCATTCCTAGCTAGGGATTGTTCCAGCATGTGGTAATGCATTTGGTTTGAATTAGCTGTGACACTGGTAAAGCCCTACTGCAGATCTCACAGGATAAGCCAGTGCTCTACAGGGGCTGCTTCTATTCAGACTGTAGTGTCAGCTATGCATGCAAGCCATAAACTAACCCTGTTTCATATACAGCTTTTTTTTAATGTCAAAATTCATCCCCATTTGTTTACATGGGGGGATGAGCTTAAAGAGGGATGAGCTTGCTGGAAATGTTTACAGAATAATTTCCTACTTTTTAAATTCAAACATGGCCAACTGTCTTTAAATTGTATCTTTCAGTTCTCTATTCTCTACTCTTATATCCCAGTTGAAAAAAGTTTAGTACCATTGTGTCTTATCTCATTGCTAAATTTTTCCAAGAGTATTGCCAATAAAACTTGTTACTTGCTCTTCCTCCATTTAACAGCAAAGGGGTTTTTGTCATAGGTGTTTGGGGTTTTTTTATTGGTTCTTTTCTATTTTTCTTTCAAATCCAATCTGGGGACTACTAAAACAAATACAATGAGAAGTGGAGAACTATTAAAAGGTGACATAGTTGAGTACATAACCCTGTCAGATGTGAGGATCAAAACAGCTCACAGTATAAATGCTTTACAAACATTTCTTGAGAGCACCTGAGTTGAACTGTGACAGAGGATAGCTGCAGCTGAACATGAGATATTTACATTGATTTGTACAGCTTTTGTTTATGTTTTATTAGATTTTTATTACTGTAAAGACTCCCAGCCTTGTAATTCTGTGCACAAAACTAACCAATTTACTCATGCAGAAGAGATCTTGAATCCTGATGACAAGTCTTCAAGCGACAGAATGACTAAATTATATGCTGGTTATAGCACGATGCTTATTCCTGTCCTACCCAGGTGGAGCTGTTCTTTACACTATGTGATTCAGCCATCAAATAGCAGTGTGCGTGTTTGAAAGGCCAAGAGGAGGCTGTATTGAGAACCTGTCAAAAACAAACGTGCAAACCTCTATGTAGCAATCAGTAAGTGTTGCTTGAATCAATCTTTTGCTAAAAAATAGAAAAGGCCAAACAGATCCTTGTTTCTATATAATATTTTTAATACAAAGCTTCAGTTAAATAGGTTTTTTTTTTCTGCCTCTTGCCTTCATCTCTGCATGACAGGTCTCCAGCTGAAGGATGCTATCAGGATTGACATTTTTATCAAATGTAAACATTTGCAGGTGAATGATCTGCCCAAGAATATGGGATTAACTAAAGATAAAGTATTTGGAAGACTACAAAATATATAGGCTAGCACAGCATCTCCAGTAAACCTACCAGTTTTATCACTTGTCCTAATTTTATCCAGTTGGCCTGTTCTGTTCACGCTATGAGGCTTGCTTTTGTTCGCTTGCATTGTGATGACTTTAAAAAAAATTACACTGATCACTGTGCTTTGCTGATCAAGAAAAAAAACATTGGGAATTTTTGAATTTTCAGTCTACATTTTCATGATACAGCGCTGCATTTGAAAATAATAGTGGGTGAGTAATCACTCCTTCCAGAAACACAGAAGAAGGAGAATGTATTTTCTTATCTATATGAATATATTCCAGTAGAGATCAAAACTAAGGGACATTGCATTCAATGAAAAAATTTTAAAAAATAAAATAATTCAAATTTGCTCAGAATTAGCTTGGTCCTCTTGAGAAGCAAGCTAAATCAGAGCTAATTTGATTTTTTTAAATTTTTCATTGAATAAAAGACCAAGATGTCAAACTGAATTTCGGTTTTAGTATTTAGTACAACCTAATAGGTTGCACTTGCACACAATCCACCAAAGAAAATTAGATCTATATGACACACTGGCATATGAATAGAGAAGAGAGAGAAAGAGTAAATAGCTGCATTTATATACAAAGGACTAATAATTTCACTATTATAAATATCATGTCAAAACTAAATTTTTTTGTTATACTGAGAAAATTACATGCCACCATAGACACTGCTGTTTTGAGTAACCAGAAACTGCATGACATGTTTTCATGGTTCTCAAGCCTTAATGATTCATTGGAATATGATTCATAAAACAATGCATGCAACCCTCTACTCAGCAATATAAGCAAAAAATACTTGGAATATCCTGCCTTAATGCACATCTATATAAAGGCTACCTACACAGAAGCCTACAGAGATATTAATAGATAGTAAAAAAATAAAGTAAAATTAAAATTAAATGCAGAGCTCATTTGACGTATGAAATCAGTTCACTTTTACAATGCAAAGCAGTGTTCTTAGCTAGGAATTGAAACGAGTAGAAATAATTGCTCCTTAAGGTGATAAATAGTTTATTTCTTTAGTGTTAACTGAGGATATATACATCTAATAAATTTTTTTGTCCCACAAGATATGGGAAAAAAATATTACTCTTTAATACATGAGATCTGCATTAGCAGATGTATTTATGTTTCAGGAAGAGAAGAACAGCAGGGATTTCCATTTTGGTGTAACTGCAAATTCCTCCAATTAAGCATTGAATTCTAATCTCCTAAACACATGCATGTATGTCCTTAACGTTATTAATTTAAAGCCAAAGTAGAATTTTATCAGCGCTTGCTTCCAACACTGATCAAACATCAGGCTAGAGGGGTGTTTTCAAGGGTGGTGTGGGGGGTGCATTTTGGGTTTTTGTGGTGGTGTTGGTTTCTCTCCAAATACCAAACACCCGAAAGCCCCGTGCGTTTCAGCCACCGCTACGAAAGGCAGCAGCTCCACGGAGGCTGCAGGCGGACAGCCGGGCACGGGCAGCCCGAACCGAGCTCAGGTGCTGCCGTCCCTCCTGGCTCTCCGCCCGGCCGAGGCTGCCGCGGCCGGGGGCGCGGCGGCTCCCTGTCCCCCGGCAGTGCCGCCGGGGATGTTGGGGCTGTTCGGGATGTTCGGGATGTTGGGGCTGTTCGGGATGTTGGGGCTGTTCCCGGCTCGGGGCTGCGCCGGGAGCGCGGCGCGCGCGGGACGGCCCC